ACACCGGAATTCGATCTCAATAATAATAATAATAATAGTAATGCAATTCAATTCTTGTTTGTGGTACTTGCAAATTTTAACAGCCCAGAGGCCAGTTACGAATTTAGCACGTCTGTGGAGAAGGACACAAAAATAACTAGCAAACAAAATACAAAATAAGGCAGTCTGTAGAATATCAATAAATTAAAGTTATCATTAACGGGTGAGAAAAGCAAGATAGGTACATTTCCGTGGTTGCGCCACAATATGGCGACAGATACAATACTAAAATTTGGGCCTAGAAGATATGTAGTTAGCCGGGAATTTGAACTACTGCACAACAATTAGAGAACCAATGGTGTTCAGACATCATAATGACTAGACCTCGGGCCGGACGATAGGAGTATCCGGGTTCAATTCTGGGCGGGGTGTTATTTCTGTTTCTGATACAGCGACCAGGCCGACACTGGGCCCCACTCAACCTCCTATCCAATGGGTTCCGGTGGCTCTTTCCCCGGGTGTAAAGCGGCTAAAGGTCTGAAGATGACCGCTCACCTCCATCCAATGCCGAGGTCAGGAATGTTGGAGCTATACCTCCACTCCCGCATACATCTTCATGACTTGATATTTAATTACTTAAGCACGCGCGCACACACACACACACACACACACACACATATATATATAAAATGGAAAGTAATTCAGAGGGTGAGGTGGATGAGACCAAATGACATGTCCTTGGTATTAAGCTTGAGGGGTCCTTTGTTCATGTTACAAGGGTGTAAAGTATGGAGCAAGGACAGTTCCGTCAGTAACGTCAGTAGAGCGAGTAGGCTTCCTGCTAAAATGCAGAGGAATCTGGGTTCGATTCCTGGAAATGGCAAAGTAATTTTTTTCCTCTACAGCGTCCAGACCGGCCCATGCAGTCTCAGGAAGTTATTTCAGCGGGAGTTAAGCGGACGGGGCATGAAGCTCCGTCTAGTGTAGCAGTAGCGCTTGGTTAGTAAAGTTCAGCTGTAACTTTACATAGCCCCAGTGTATATCTACTTAAGTAGACCTAATCTTTGTATAAACCCAAGTAAAAGTAAGTAAACAAAGATGCTCCTGTGCTTAACTAATTAAGAACTACTCCATTAAGGCGTATATATAAGGCGGAAGTATAGATCCACGTTTTCTTGACATCGGCAGTAGCTGGAGTTGAGTGGTCAGCTTCACGCCCTGGCCGCTCTAACCCCTAGGGAAAGAGACCCAGTTACCCTTTGGAAAGGAGGCTGGGTGGGCCACAGAAGCGGTCTGGAGAATAGAAAATTATTGACCCTACCAGGACTCGGCCTCCGACCCCTCGGCCGTCCAGTCTACAGCCAGTCGCTATACCGACTGAGCTATCGCGGTTCTTCTTTACTCTAGCCAGACTTACGATGGAGAAGTTCTTAGTCTCAGCAGTTCTGGGCAAACGAATTTGGAAGCAATAAAAGTAAATTAACTTANTTTCTTCTACCATGAAGATGCAGGCGATACGTTCCTCCGAAACGTCGGTTAACACCACATATACATGGTGCCAAATCCCAGAAGACTGCTTTCTTCATAGTCACCGCCGTGAAAGCCTCAAATCTTACAACTTATGTCCTCTCAATATAAGGGTGCAGACGGTAGCATAGTTGGTTGAGGCACCATTCTACAAGCCGTAAGGTCGCGGGTTTAGTTCTAGACGAGGTCATTAGATTCTTTAATTGACCTAATCCTTCCAGCCGCACTATGGCTCTGGGGGTCGACTCAGCCTCTAACAGAAATGAGTACCAGGAATCTTCCTAAGGGTAAAGGTGCGGCGGGCGCGTAAGGCTGACAACCTTACAGACATCTGTGAGCTGATTGTCTAGAGAAAATGTGGGAGCCTCGACGTCTCACAACCCTATGGGCCTCCACGGCCTGTTACAGGGATAGCTTTACCTTTTATATTTTAATGTTATGAGAGTGTTTGGTGTAGAAGCAGATATTACAGAGGTAAGTAGTAATTTCTTGTGACTTATGTGTTGAAATGGGTTTTATGGCTGTGCGCCAGACTGATGCAAGGGAAGGAGTGTAATTCATTCCGCGGCTGTAATAATAATGGACAAATCTGCCTTGCACAACCTTTGAAACATGCAGCGCAGTCTCTTGAGATACGCTCCGTCTTGCTTTGTCTGCACTACGCATTTTAATGTAAGAGTGGAACATGACGCAGACATGTAAATTTAAAATTGGAGACCAACCTTTCGGAAGCAAATACTGCCTCCATCTTCAGAGATAAAATACTTCTCTGAAAGATCGGTGCCTTCTATCAGCCGACGCCCTGTACTAACTCAGAACACCACAGCACAGCGATTTATTATATATATCAACAAAATAAACTACTTCACAGAATTATATGCAGTCTGATGTGAAGTATTAAGTTATATTATTAATTTATCATTATTAATTACATTTAGATCCATAAGTTATTTAAACGTTAAAATATCTGTTTAAATAAAATCTTAAGTCGATTACTATTTCGTAGAAAACACACAGGATTTATTATTAATATCAGTTGGTTAACGATGTTTAGGGGGAAATTCGCTGTTAGTTCTGAAAACTTAGAAAACCTACAGATCGGCTGAGCGGATATTAATGTTGTGTTATTTTGGGTTCGTGACTCTAAACTCTTCACTAAATATAGGCATGTGGTCAGTTTGCCTCTCCGCCCACTTTAGGCCCCAAAAATATCCTTTATATAGGAGGGCATGGACGACGACGAGGGGGCACATTTGCCCTCTCTTACTTACTCATGGAGCTGAGCCCTTCTTGAAGAGCCTCCAATTCTGCAGCTATTCAAGCATTTCCAAGTATTTTGTGGAACCTGAAGGTTCATTACCGTGTTTAAAAGAGTCCTCCACTGGTCCCTACCCTGAGCCAGATCAATCCAATCCATCCCATCGCAACCTACCTCTCTAAGATCCATTTTAATCATTTGTCCCATCTAGGTTTTTGAAAAAGTCAAAACTGAAAAAGGCTTTAATCTACCACACATTAATAAAAAAAATGAAAATTATTTTTCAAGATATTTATTCTTGTACCCTGAACACCCTTGGCGATCAGTGGAAACTATTAATTTTAGTTTTAATCAAAGCTTATGGTTGGAAACAAAGCCCTGCTGGAGTTAAATTTAGGTGGGCCTTAGGGCTATTCTTGACGCTATGGAAGAGAGAAAAAAATCTTCTCGGGATAGAACCCCGAATACTTGGTTATTCAGCTTAGTCACTATCCTGACTGAGCTATCCCTGGGGGATTTTTTACTACATCTCTCTTCGAAACTTGTCTCAATATCCTCCTTGTTCCACTCTTAATACTGTATTTCAGCATCCTGTTGCGTTGTGGCATCGTTTTTAGATCGTAAGTGTACCGTTTGTAATGCAAGAATAACCTTATATAAAATAGACTAAAAATATAATTAATACACTAAAAGTGATTCTCAAATATTTCAAAATATCAGCAGCAAGGAATGAATGTATAATTTCAATTACATTTTAAAATCTTTAAGAAGCACTTTTAGTGTATTAAATATATTTTTAGTGTATATTATATAAGGATACTCTTGCATTACAGGCTGTATACTTACGATCTAAAAATGTTGTTCTCTTGACTGGAAGGTTTCATAACAATCTGTAACCACGAATACAGCATGAGGCGGCTTGACACGGATATTAAAACAAAAATGTTACAAGAAGCAACGCCTGGCCGCGTTTTCTCTTCATCAGCTTCACCGAAGAGCATGTCACTTTCGTCAAGCCAATTGCGGTCAAACACACAGAGGTCCTGTGTGCAGACAGTCCAGTTGCGAGCCTAGTGCAGGGCTGTCTCTGTTTGTCTCTGCTCCCGGAAGGAATCTTTTAAGTTGGTTATTTAATGACGTGGGGAGCTAGAATATCTGAGTTGGTATAGCGACGGACTACGGACTGGAAGACCGGGGCTCGATTCCCAGTAGGGTTAAGTGATCTTTCTTTTCTCCATTACGTCTACATCAATTCTGGGTCCTACAAAGTATACGAGGAGTAAAGCTGCCCGACTGGGCACTACTTCTATCGATTGGATACAACTGAGTAGGTCTCTTTAATCTGAGGATGGACACAGAATCCGTCTCCGAAACCTTCTGC